AGAGCCAAGTTATTGAAACTCCAAAACATTATTGGGAAAACAAAAGTCATTAACTTAACAAATACTTTGCCTGTACACTTTTGGGAGAAAAGGGTTTACATTTTTGTCAGTTTTTTCTAAATTAAAGAGATTACTTTTATTATTTTCTGCTGGATTAAAAATGGATTTAGTAATTGTAGAAAGATTTTTGAAGACTGAAATCCTCCAGCAAACTATAGAATATGGACTGCACCAACTGTGATGGTGAAATTTTCCCCACACTGCTCTGTCACATTTCTTCAAACCCCAACCAGAAGAGATCTCCATGCAGCTTTTATTTGAAGAAAAGCTGCCACTGACTTCAGCAATAGTCTTTGCTCCTCTCCTACCACATAGGATTTCCTTTGACTATTGAGATAACTAAGTTTACCTGAAGAGTCAGTGTAATCTATGATGGAGCTCATAGAACTTTCTTTGACTACCATGATAAAAACAAATTCTCTTTTCAGAGCCATTAAGCATGTGTGTAAACTGCCCAGAATGAAAGAAGAGCAGAGCAGTGCTCATGCACTTCTAATGCACTTCTAGTGCACTTCATGCGCTGCAATTCTAATTTCTCAAATTCTGGCACTGGTTGCAATCAGACAGCAGTAAAGGAATTTTCAAAACTTGAAATGGGTTAGAAAAAAGGTAGAGCATAAGAAGATGAAATAGTCTTGCCCAAGAAACAGTCCTGCACTTTGCTCTACAAAAAATGAAATAGATGAAGAGCCAAAATTGAAAGTATAAATCATTTCAGTCATTAATCTCTGCTCTAGCAGTTGATTTGATTGCCAACGTATTTATTCTTTGCTATTACTATGGGAGAATCTCTTACCCCTTTTTTTAACATCACAATTGAAATAGTCAATTTTAAAATTCCATTTTCTGCCAGAAGTATATTCACAAAACATACAGACACTAAGTAACCAGTTGATCATTCCTATTTCCAAGGCAAATATTAAATGTTGAAAAAGCAAAATGGCTGCAAGCATCATGATAAAAAACAGGGAATATATATTTAAAAGTCTATTAAATGTTGAAAAAGCAAGCTGGCTGCAAGCATCATGATAAAAAACAGGGAATATATATTTTAATGTCTGATTGAAACAAAAGGAGCTTAATATAAATTAAAATGGCATTTTGTTTTAAAAATTCTATTAATGTCACCACGTACAATATAGACTAATGACCCTTAGCAAAAAAATGGGAAAAGCTAGTATTTACTAGAGGTTGACTCCCATAATTCTGCCTTCATGGTTCACACTCATATTGTTGGTGCTTTGGATAATTTTAAGATATTTGGATAATATTAACATGTCTTCAGTCATATAACAGTGGTGTGAGCTCAGTAAGCATATTCTCATTTCTCCTACATACTGAAGAATGTTTCTTGGTCTTCTTTCTCAGAACAGAGACCCAAAAGGAGGTGCGTCCAGCAGTGTTCCCTGGTAAAGTACACCGCTGCTGGGTAGGGCCAGGCAGACCAAAAACGTGTACAGCCAGTGCTAAGGCTGGACAGAGAGCTAAGGAGGTAAATGAGGGACTCTGCCTTTGCTACCCTAAGCATAATTGTGGCAAAGCAGAGATTCTGGCCCTAGGACATTTAAGATGGTGATGGCATGCGGCAGCATCTTATGGCCAGGCTGCTGCTTCTGGGGGCAGCAGCATCCTCAAAGGGGACGCGTACATTAGCCATGTGCTCCAAGGGACACACTGCCCGTGTTGCACTAAGCCTGAGCACCCTGGTTCAGTTTAGTACAATTACCAAAGCCAGTCGGCTCAGCCTAAGGACATGCTCAGCCCAAGGGCATGCGTTAGCAGCGTGACAGGGAGGGAAGCTTCGAATTAAGAGCGAGCTCAGATCCATGCTTAACTAGCAGGGCGGATGACTAACGGCAGATCTCTGGCATCGGTACCAAGTTTGGTGCTAACAGAAACTGGGACTGGTACTGCATATAATTCTTTCTGAAATGGATTTGAGAGACCAGACACCAAAGGAGCTTGCCATCATTGTAAACCTCTCCTCTTAATTTAAAACTTTTAGAGAGGTTTAATTGCAAGCACCTATTTTTTTCAAATTATCATTAACAAAAGCACTTTGCTATTAACTGGGATCCCTCCTAAGGTTTTGCTTTTTTTGGTGTTTATTAAAGGTGATGACTAACTCCACCAATACCTGTTACTGGAAACATCCTCCTCACTAATGGCTTTGGCAATATCACCTTCTTATTACAGGCACAGTTATCCTTCTCAAGCACAAGGTTTTACAGGCACTATGGTCCATCTGCACCATTGGAAGTGATTGGAAGGCAAGTCTAGACTTTTAAAAATAGGCTTAGTAGTATAGACTAGTAATGATGAAACACTGGTCAATTCTGTCTTCCAGTCTGAGGCAGCTCTTGATTTTCACATCATAATTCTCTCAAAACACTGCTGCTGTGTATAACTGGAGAGTGTTGCTAGTTAAAAAGTACCTGGTGAAAAGGCCAAAACCCCCTCCATTATATTAAGAATATTTAAGTCTCTCTTTGGATCTCACCCAGGTCATGGCTTCTGTAAAATATTAGAAAACACTTAGGCAGCCAATGTACTGTATCTACTGCCTCTTCTAATTCACTCTTCCTCTGTGATTCAGCTGCTCCTGTTTGCTCTAGTCAAGGTAGCTGCTGGGACGCAAGCTCTCGTGAGCGGGAATCACCATGTTGCTGCACACTCGCACACTGCTCAGCGCAGCGGGTTCTCATCCTCACACTTCAATGCGAGCCGGCCGCTAGGAACAACAAACTCGGGGTATTTCTTGCTGAGAGAAAAGGAAGGGAGAGGAACGGCTGCCAGCTTTTGTTTTGGAAGTGCGTGCCACTATGCTGAATGTCATCAACAGAAGAACTTAATTGACAGAAGGATAGATTATCTGACAATAACGCAGATAAAACAAAGACACCGGTCCATATATAAATAAATCACTGCCAAGACCTCTAAAATATAAAAATACCACACTGCTGAAAGGAAATACTCTTCTATACACCTTGGTAATTGCTCTTAGCTGAACTAGTTTCCATTTTAATTTTATATATTTTCCTTGTTCACTATTTTAATAGTAAGTTATTATCAGTCAAACTGCATAAAAACATAACAAGAATATTAGAACACCAGAAAAGGATCAGAATATCAGAAAAGGATGTCATGGACAGTGAAAGCGGACAGGGAATGGAATGTTGTCCAGACTTTGAACAAAATGTCTTTGGTAGGTCTGAGCTACTTGGGTCTGAACACCCCCAAACGTTGCCGGGGCTTACATCTAAAAGCTTTGTTTAGGCCCATCTCTAGTTAGTTGAGTTATTCAGGGTGACAAGATTTACAGACACAGCTTCTCAGCATGAACAACATGAATGGAGAAATTTATGCTAAGGTGTAGGATTTCTGCAAAACTCATTCGTTATAACGTGGACTAGTTATTGACATAAGAGTTCAATTGTATATGAGGTTCACAGTACAGCTATTAAAATACTGTGTAACATTAGATTAATGTAAAGATTCATGTGTGAGGAAACCAACTGCCACCTGTGGCTTCCATGTCACTGCTATTATTATTCATGAGCTTTAGGCTGCGCATCGATTGTCGCTGTTCTTCATTCACTATTGGAGTAGTTGAACACAGGAGAGAACAGAAATCACCCCGACTATCCCCCCGCAAAAATCAAAAAGGAGCCTTTCCAGTTTTTTTTGTTCAAATTTGTCAGTGTAGTTCCTGGCTTACCTCTTTTCACTGGCTCACAGGTCAGTGCAATATTTAGCACATATAACACCCCCAAAAAGTCCATAAAATTAAAAGTATTACAAATAATTAAAAAAGTATAAAGTCTGATTATATTTTATCTTAATTATTTTTCTTGACTTTCTGATTTTAATATGACTAGAATTTTCTAAATCTTTTACAGAAGTAGAACATATAAGAAAATTTGGAATTTTAAAGTAAAAATCATCTTAGTGAGATACTGAAATCAGATCATGACGCTGACGCAGTTTAATGGAATTCTAGAACTTATTTAAGTTAGCTTTTACCTTAACGCATCAGGTATTAACTGTGAGGTGTAATTACGTAATATTAAAATGTAACAAAATCGTTTCTGTGATCATACAACAAAGCCTGACTGTTAAAAATTAGAAAACAAGGTTTATAAGAATATGCTGCACTAAAGCTGCATCAGCAGCATAACTTCTTTTGCAAGGAATAAGTCTGAGGAAATTTTTCACTTAAGTCTTTTAAAAACCCTTCACAAACGCCATCTGGTTATGGCCGTTAACTATGGGAAGAGATTGAAAGGAGTGGTTTTACAGACATATGACTACGATACCATAGCACAAGACAAAAAGAACAAGAACATTCAAACTATACTGCAGAGTAGTTATTTTCCCTAGTAAATATATATATATCCGGGGAACAAGTCATAAAATGAAAAACCGTACATCCCTGGAAACCATTTTTAAATCTCATAACCCCCCAACGTTGCTTTTTTACAGATAAGGGAAAGTCATCATATAACTGAGCCAGGAAGGTACGATACTTCTAAAAAATAGTCTCGCGCTAAAGAAATTAAATGCGAATACAGTGAAAATGACAGTATTGTTTACCACGGAAATAATATTTGCACCAAACGGGACACGATAACATCTTCTAAAACAACGGAGCAGCAATACTAATGCCGCTCGATGTTTCAAATGTTTGTATCCAATGTATTTATAACAACCTTTTCAAAGGTTTGTGAGAAATAACTCTAATCTCCCCCTTTTTTCCCAACTACGCATGGTATATGTGCTAACTTACTGAATTCATCCTTCATGCAATTCCAGTTTATTAAAGAGGTTAAAAATTTATAAAACTCTGATGGGATATGGTTTTAATGCTTCATCACACTACCCATCATTTGCTTTTCAATCTAGATCAGAATGATCTTTCCGACTTCCCTGCAATCACCTACCTGCACAGCTAATATTTTCTGAGCGTTCTCCTGAGAGGCTGCCTGGATCCTCGCCAGCCCAGCCTGGATGGAGAGGCCGCGCCGCCTCCG